GACAAGAGGATTATTGGTGGGAATTTTTTTGAAATAATTGGAAGGAACAGAAGTAGAGGGTGGAGAGGGTGAAGATTATTGAGAAGAAGAAGATTGAAATGAGGAAGGAGTATATTGAGCAGTAAGAGAAGACATTTTAGACTCTTTGACAAAAAGGCAGTGTGGGAAAGTGAGTCTGTCACATGACATAAATGTCAACATTTGATTTTCTGTTACACATATTATAAATAATAAAAGGCTTGCCGGTACATTATTATGAAATAAAATACATGTTCTAAAAACATGAATTCTACAAAATAAAGTTACGTTCGACTTTGTGCGACATAAATTTATAAGTACGCTCTCCCCAACAGTCCGTGATTCAATACCCGTCGCGTAATGTATTGGCTCTCCAGCTCTTTATATCGCCCCGCTACACCTTCCTTTGTCGGCCCGCTGTCCTCGTTGGCACTCTAAATCAATTAATTATTCCAGTGAGAGCACGTTTGTGGGAATCATTGCACCAAGATCAATTAATTATTCACGGAGCGGTCACAAAAAGTGTATTGCTTCTTGATCGTCTGGGGGTACAACCGGCTCACTATTCGATAAACATAACTCCGACTGACAACTAAAAGAAACAAGTCATTGGAAATATTAAAACCGTGACTAGCAAAGAGTGAATAGACGCTTTTCGTTTGCGAAACTTTGTGATAACATATACGAACCAATTAGCGCGACTACACCCATTCCCAACTTTCGACTTTCCGGGTGACGTCTCCCGTACGACCCATAGGCGATATTTGTCTAGAGTAGGTGGAGTTCTAGATGATTTTTTTGTGCAATATATTAATATTGTTGTCTCAAAAGCCTCTGTATAAAGGGGGTTCTAGATGGAGAGGCACAAGTGATGCGAATTTTCAACTTCGAAAACGACTTACCACCAATTCGATGCTTATTTGCTTCGAAGTACCAATCTCCGATAACTCACCGTTGCCCGATATACAGATTGACAGCGTTACATATGACAATACACATGAAGTGAGAATTGGATAATCAGACATTTACCGTACCGGAGAGTTGGTTAGAATCATAAAAGGAGTTTCGTCGCTGGTTTCCATTCGTTAACCATACTTTTCGCATTTTCTGTTGCCAACTAGTGGTAGGGGAGTAGACTAAGTAGAAGCACATAGATGATTTTGAATGTCGGCCATGGTTCCGGAAAATTACTGTCAAAAGTTCAGAAGCCTCTTTTTTATTGACGAAACTTTGTGCAACAATCTACTTTTAGAAATAGTAATAGCGATAGTAGGCAATTTATAGGCATCGGCCTTGTAAGATAACTGTTGTTCTATTACCAAAGCACAAACAATAAATGAATCAGCAGCTGTCGTTAGAACAACATGTAGAATACAGATAATATACAAGACATCATTAACACCCATCATAGTGGATACAACAGATAGCGCAACAATTCCGACTGTCCACTACAGTCACTTGATACATCGGGAACTATTTGTAACAGCAAACTTCTCTTTTCAAGTTCATCGAAGTTTATTTCCTTCGATATAAAATATTATTATCTAGTTCGTCTTTATAAATAAACTCTAACATTTGTATTCAAAGTCCCAATGTCTTCTTCACGTTTTCTCGCACAATCCGATTAAACGCTTCTCTATCAGTGCGCCAGATTTTCTATCATATAAGAATAAAATTAGTCATACAAAAGCTAATAAATGTCCGAGAACTACAACACTGATTTGATCTCAACAAACATCATAAAAGTTTCTCTCTTTGCTATGGTATATCTACCTAATCCCTCACTTATCTTCAACACTGATTCAAAAACTTACACAAGCCTCGATATTCGCTCCGCTCTCATCATTAGGTTCTGCGAGCATAGATACCACGCTCAACAAAACTTTCTCCACACTCTGTACAGGTGACCATCGTTCTGACGAACTTTCATACATGTGCGGGTCATCACCCGGTGGATGGAGGATGGATATGCATACTAAGCCATCAGGATAAACGTTTGGGTGGAAAACTTCGCAGGTGAACTTCATTGTTGGTGGAGCTAAAGGATAATCTGTTGGAAATTTGAGAATTGCGGGAAATATTCCGCCTTCATACGGTGTGTCTTCAGGGCCTCTGTAGAAAGAAACAAGAGGTTACAAGTAAGAGGTTAGGATGAGAGGTGTCAAGTTAGAACTTTATGTGATTAGATCGATCGGTAAAGAAAAAGTCAATTTGCTTACGCTATCAAAGCCTCCCATTCGAATACTTGGTCTTCCGATACCGGCCCTATAATAAGTAACGATGTTAATATATGACAAAGACGTTCTTTTACTGGCATTCGGCAGCAGTTGAGAATCTTACCGGCTGTGATCCCTTCCGGAGCGTTTATCGTTAATTCTGTTAACAAGATTAATATACATATAAATAAAACACGAAAGTAGTCTTGAGAGAAATTTTTATCAACATTAAATATGGCCGTTTTATTTTCAAGAGCGCTCGCTTTTCTTATGTACACTGGAAAGTTTGATCAACTCCGTTTGACTCTCCAGCGTTGTCGTGTAGCTGATCGTTAGTCTATACTCAAATGCTAGTTCTTAGACGTACCCTTATATTCAATCATCAGCCTTTTCGTGGCAGTCGAAGCCATATTCTGTGGGTGGTACATCTTTACTTGTCCCGTCACTGAATAAAATATGAAAGAAATTATGTTTCGTTTACATGATATACACTTTGTCACGTGATTATTAAAATATTACTTGCGAGAACACAGGATTCCCATTGCGCATATCTGTTAACCGTGGATCCACTTATAAATGAACATGTCACGTATGAATCCCACGAGAAAGTGATCAGCGTTACAAACAACGCTGACTATACAAGCTTCAACAACCCCACCATCGAACATTGGCAGATAAAATACACCATTATCATAGTCTAAGCGTGTGCTATCAACAAACATACATACCCATCAAATTCATACAACGTGTCACAAAAGGCATAGAAGCCGGATCAAAATAATATTACAGCTCCGGGTATAATCCGGAAACCTTTGAAGAAACATCAACCTTGGATAGCATTTTTGTTTTTAGTTTTTGAACCACATACCAGCGTAGACTCCTACTCAGCACGGCTGTTGGTAAGTAGAACACATGATATCATGAATTCTATACGGAATATGCCATGAAATTTAACCAAGTCAATGTCAGACATTTTCACCACTTTCCAAGCTGAACGCAAACGCGATAGTAGTAATGGACACTAGTCCAGTGTCAGGTTCTTTCCTATTTACTATCTCTGATCCTGCAAGGCTCAGTATGCCCGTATATTCTCCTCCATTTGCTACTTCATACAATACCTTTTGGCAGCTCGAATTTCATCCTGTAAGTTAAGAAGAATATTGCCGCCTTTTTCAGTAATTACTTGACACTTTACAGTGTAAAATTATATGGTTCTGACGCAACATCAAAAGATATCTGTAGACAATCCAGAATATTGTGCTCTATATTTGAACGCTGTGGCCAATCCCCAAGAACAAGTTACGACTCAGAAATGGGATGGACGAAGCATGCTTTCGGCCGAACTGTTTGCTCGATTGACTACAGAGCAAAGCACTGGTCCTGATGCCATAATGTCATTACCTATGACTCAATTAAATCCAAATGGAAATGGTCGAATTGAGCTGGGTTATTTGAGTAACTACTCTATAAAGAACCCCAGTTGGGGTAAGACACACTTTATATTTGTTTCATTAGATTGTGAACCAGACACTGAAGTCAATTAACAAGACATTTCTCACTAATTCTCGACTGTTTCCACAGGAAAGCGGACTCTAATTGAAAGAACGCATTTCAACGTCAATAATGTCAATAATGTCAATAATGTCAGTCCAAGTGTCAACCGTAGATATCGCATACCTATCAACAACAATACACCCACAAAGGTAGAACTAACTATCGGAGTTAAATTTCAGTCAACTGAGATGGCACCATGTTCATTTCAAGCCCCGTTACCTGGCAAACCATTCCCAAAGGAGATACTTCAAGTCCTCGAAGCAGATCTCAATAAATCGGATCGAGCTGATGTCCAATTCAATCTAGTGGAGGGTGTTGTCTTCGCAAACTCTTCTGTGCTGTGCAAAAGATCAGAGTATTTTAGTAATATGTTGCAGGGTAATTGGTCAGAATCAATTATTCGTTCTCAAAAACAGCGGAAGCGACAACGTACTCCTATATCTGTTGATGATAATATACCGCATTCCATATCCTCCCCATCATCCGACGATGATGTAGTTGAGATAAACTCTAACATAAAATACAGAATTAATGTTCCCGATATACCCAAAGAAGCATTTCTCGATATGCTCCGATATCTATACACAGACCAAGTGTCGATACCTGTAGGCGATGAAGCATATAAGGCAGCATTAGATCTCTTTGCGACAGCTGACAAATACCTTTTAACTGATCTCAGGCAGAGAGCAAAAGCAGAGATATATCAATTACTTAGTCCTGATAACGTCGTTGATATCTTATTTGGCACTGCATGGAAGTGGCCTGATCTCAAGGCAGACCTGATGGCATACATTGCAGAAAACGTCAGAGCTGTTAAGGAAAGCGATTCATTTAAGAATTTGGGAGACGATTCATTGGCATATCCAAAGAGTGTTGAGTTGCTAAAGGATTTAATGGTGATGTTATACGAGAAAAATGGCGAATGACATGCAGAAATACAAGTAAGGATAGGTAAAGGATAGTGAGGTTAAGAGAATATGGCAAAAGGACAAGAAACACTCTCGTAAATGAAGGAGTGGTTGGTACATATATAGGGTATATTAGGCCGGTATCTAATGTTTGACGTTTGAAAGATGCTTTATTGTAAATTAATATAAGTAAACATATTGTACTTACTGCATTCAAACATATGAGCTATTTATTACATTTATGTTGTTACATTTCTCCAACTTGCTTAACTCCATCTAAGAACTCAATCATAATTCTCTTCTTCATATACCATCATGTCATTCAATTCCACCCCTTTCCTTTTCTTTTATCTCATAAGTTTCATATTTCCCCTCTCCACACGACTCTCGTGCGTCATCTTTGCCGTCTTCGCACCGAATTGTATAGCCCTCTTCCACAGCATACTCGCATTAAACAAACCCAATCGCCTGGCCGCGTGTCGTAGAAGTAATTTCTCTCCAACGCCACGTGGAAAGCGTGGATCGGTTTTCAAATGGATTGGAAGCGAGGAGAGATATGTAACCAACTGGAAGGAGAGGTAGGGGCAGCGCGATTCTTTACCATGAGAGGAGATGATTCGATCGTCGCGGCCTTTAGTGACGAGGATTGAAGTAAAATTCAGGTAAGGTATAAATTTGCATATCAAATAAGTGATACATATATACATGTATATATATATAGGCTACCTAGGTTTCGTGTTGATATCCGGTTGATGTCTAATTGTATCTATATTATTAATAAAAGTATTGACGTGCGATGAATAAAAAGCTCATTAACTAATTTTGATATTAACAAAATCGGTATGACGCACTTCACTGATTAGTCGTGCCCAACCACCATGCTTGAATGCTTCTCTATGTCGCGAATATCCACCTAGTAGTTCATCCGCTCCGATACCAATGAGAATGACTCTTGCTTTACTCTCATAATCTATTGATCTTGCCCCATCCTCAGAGACTAGATGTCCTAAAAAACAATGCTCATTCGTGTAAGAATAATAATATTCTTCCGCAAACAGGTCTTTCACGCTATTACCTTTCCCCCTTGAAGCAAACCAAAACGCCATCGCAATACTCTGAGTATATATGAAAGAATTTCAATTATTGACCGATTGTCATAAGAATCATGCAAAGGCTTATCATACCAAATCCATGATGGTGTCAGATGGGTGCATAAGCTCCATGATTTCTTCTTTGTGAGCACAAGATTCTTCGTACGGGACATTGACTTCAATAAAATTCCATTTTCTCTTGGGAGATATTCTCCTGATGATCAATAGTTTGGGAAAACAGATTTTTTTTATAACTACTGAAAGAGTCATCGTAGCCCTTTATTCTTTCGACGACTCACCTGAGTTCTTCGACACCTTGTCTCCCACTAATTCTATCTGGCACTTTGAAAATTTCCTTTTCCTTTTCCTTTGATACTTTTCTCGACTTTTTTCCTTCAGCGTCAACAGCTCTTGGGTTCTCAAAACCGACATTCAATAAATCAATTGGTTCATTTTCAGGTAAATATGTATCGGCCAAGGCAGCTAGACATATGCAATCGATCCCTCCAGAGAACAATATGGCTACGCGTGGTGAAACTGTATGCGGAATATTTGTTACGCGAAGACGTACAGAGTCTGATAGTAATTCGAGAAAACGGTCAATTGCTTGCTGCATTTGAGGATAAATTTCCGGAGTTGTGGACGCCACATTGTGAGGGTAATCAGATGTGGTTGGAATATAGTTGTTTATCGTGGATATTGGGGGATTAGACCAGGAGTAATGCGTTATTGCGTTCGAAAATGAATCTGGAAACTAAACGTATCTGGTTATTCATAATCGCGTGTGTGAGAGAAAGATCAGAAGACAGAAATTGGGTAGATGGTACCTGTTGAGAGAAGACCATCGATGTCAAGGCAATACAATCCGTCTGCAGGCACTTCTGTGAAAAAATCGTTTGGAGCAAAATGAGTACCAACTGATGTCAGCATAAATTGATCATCTGTTGACGTTGGTTTGTGCCAAAGAAGCGATCTTCTTCCGAAATAGTCTCGTCCGAACCACAACTGTCGTGTCGCGTCCTGTATAAAAAATTTCGATTAATAATAAAAAAAAAGAAGAAAAAAAGGAAAACAAAACAAAAAAAATTTTATTTAAAAAATAATACACACATTCCAATAAATTATTGCAAACGGCCCTTCAATATTCGACAATATACCTAATGCGTTGTCTATACTGTTTCTGGAGAGTAAAGCAGCACATAAACTCATTGTATCATTTGCAGATGGTTGAACCTATTTTTATCAATGTATTCGGATCACGCATGTTGTAGACATTTTCTGACAGTCGATAATCATTCCACACCTCAATACCATCAAAAATTTCTCCGTTCCATTGTAATACATTCTTCAAATCATCGACTATGGGCTGAGAGATTACATTTGGGCCTCTTAGATGTAAGACATGCGCAATAAAGTCAAGACGCAATGAAACGATTGCTATCGTATGTTGTCCATGAGCATCCGGTCCTACGAATGACTGGGGTTATCGATTGAAACTAAAACAATACTAATGTTATCGGTATTAATACCTCTTCGTTGGTTCTGTTTGTTTAAATGGTCCCAAATATTAGAGTAACGTTGATCATATTCATTTTGGTAAATCAATCGAAAAGCAATTCCACACATTAGGAAACTGAAGAAGAAAAAGACAACAGTGGATTCTTCTCAAAAAATCCATACTGATCATATGATATAAAATAGAGTCACGTGAAATATATTAATATGAACGCATCCTTAGGGTTAAATTAATTAATATTATATTTAATTCTCTGACTTGATTTACACCGCCAATTTGAAGCATTCAACCGAAAATTGATCACCAGCCCACTTGGCCACTTCTGCTATCAGTCTTTCTTTTCTTTGTAAACTTGTATCGCTTCTTAGTTCATATAGAATGCACAAATTAAAGAGTAATGGCTCACATATTCCGGCAGATTTTGGGTATCTGTTAACTAAATCTTCAAGAAACTTTACAGCCTGTTATAAATACGAATAAATTGCAGAAAATAAAAACAAGCACCACAATACGTTAATATTACATTGATATCAATATCAATATATTGTAATGAACTGTTACTGACCTCATCTGAATTACTAAGGTATAATTCACATACAGCATGGTTGTTAGCAGCCTTATAGTGTTAGAAGTCGTTAGACAGAGGACGATAATTCTTTAAAATTGTGCCAGGTCAACGAATCCACATACCACCAAATTCTCGGGATTTTTAGCTAAAACTTGATTCAGTATCTTCTTTGCTGCATTCCAATCTTTTTTGACAATGTTTATGAATGCACTTTTGATAAAAAGAAGAAATTTAGCACGGACATTAAGTGAAAGTGATCATTTAATAGCTTTTGATCGAAATAAGCCCTATTACCTATTCATCAATACCAATTCGTCAAATGAATCACTATCAGATAATTTTGCTAATCTTTCGACATCACTAAATAATGCTTCAGCGCTGACAATATTGCCAGACTATAAACAAGCGATGTCAGCATTGAACGTTAAGCATACCAATGGTACATATTTTGACAAATCACTTACTTGCAAATGCAATCTTGCCAACCCAGTTAGTAGATTAATGTCGTCGGGAAACGACTGCAAACATTTTTCCATCAGGGATATTGCTGCTGGATAATCCTATTCATCGAAAATGGTCATTCGCGTACGCAAACGAGAATCAATGTAAAATAACATGTAAAACAGGCATTGATACGAACTTTCAATTCAAGTAGATAATTCACGGCTATTAACATCATTCGTCCCTCTCGTAATTGCCACGTTTGTAATTCATGCTTAGCTACATAGCACAAGACAGTATAAATAACTTCTGCAATGTGGTCCCATAAGAATAATCAAATCATGCTGTCTACCTTCATCTGTATCAAGTGCACTAAACTTTTTGACCATCTTTCAATCATAATTAAAACATTCAATGATCAGAAATTCGAATTTACACAGTCAAACACCCATTTTTACCCAGCGCAACACTCCTCTACTGTCTCTCTCTGTTCTTCTCTCTCCACGTACCTTTCGACAATCAGAAATTAATCTAAAAATACCATCGATAGCCTCACAAATATTTCCTTGATATCCAGTCAGTCTAGCTGCTAAAACTTTCATCTCGAATGGCACCATAGATCCCTTCTTTTCATCAAACATTCCTTGCCATCTAGGATGTTCATAGTTCAGTTCTGTCCTTTGAAGATCACCAAGTCTGGTCATCTCAGATATTGCCAGTTTATAGTGTTTAAGTTTTGTTAACGCTAGTAGACGGACATGCCAAAACTTCAGTGGATGTGATGTTTAAAAGGAAGGATAATTATAATAATAGCAATATAGTTACAGAACCTGGATGTGAGTTTACAATAGTTTGGTCGGATAAACAACATAAATAATTTAGGAAAAAAGTACTTCGATTATTAGTTCTACTTCGCCGGGGTCGCTTAAAATTATTTGGTCTTTGGCCAAGTTTGCGACTGCTTTCCATGAATTATTGATCTAGAATTTTCATAAAATAAATATCAGTTATTATGTCCCCTGTCACTATTGGGTTGTTGCTTGTGGACTATCAGCCGTTATGTTTTGCCCTACCCAATGAGCAATCTGAATTACTTACTATTAACTTCTCTAGCGCGTCCTCGTCGCCTGTGTCAATCCCTTTAGATGTGTCTCTTTGTGGTCTGGATTCGGGCGTTATGTATTTTTCCAGTATTGCAGTGAATTGATCTGCCTGTGTATAAAAATTGTGGGATGAGACTATATCCTGTAAGTAAACCTGATTACGATATCATACTATATACCTGAGTAATTTCAGTGAACAATGACGGCGATGTCCACTCGAACAGCCCTTGCATACCCGATCCTGTTCTTTCAAAATCAGATATCCACCAATCATTATTTGAACAATCATAACTAAAACA